ACGTACCTGTTCGCAATCATCTTGGCCTTGAAGAGCTTCTCGCCGACGGCGTGCTCGGCCACGCGCCACACGATCATCAGCCTGGCCTTGAAAACATTCACGATCGACGCGGGCCCTTGGCAGATGCACCCTTCGGATTCCCAACACAGGCGCCGAGGCCGCGCTGGCGCCGTGAGCGGCTTGATGTCCTGCTTGCGGGTGTGGAGGTGCAGCGCTGTCCATTTCTCAGCCTCTGTCTTCACGCTGCCGATGTCCAACGACCGAATGACCTCGGACGCGAGCGACTCTGGCTTCCGAACATAAATAGCCGTCGGCATCATGGCGCGCTGGACGGCGACGTCGGCGGAGCGCTCGTTGGCGGGCACATCGTTGCCAATGAAGAACCAGTCCTTGGCATATCTGTCAGCATCTGCATCGGACCTCGCACGGAGGTCGGCCTCGTCGGAGATGTCCTGGCGAGCTGCAATTCTGTTGCGTCTCTTGTAGTCTTGGGCTGCCACCGCTGCACGTCGGAAGATCTGACTGGACCCCGTCGTCGAGACGACGTCGTGCACGGCCTGGCTCAGCCCATCACCGTTTGCGGCATCGTTGAAGGCACGTACTTTCACGCTGGCACCCGCCAGTGGCGTCGTCGTGCTCTGCCGTGCCTTATGGCCGACACCGTGCCTGCCACTCTTGTACTCCTGTAGCGCGACGGCTGCCATGTCCTCGAATGGCTGCCGTTCCTCAGGGGTGAGGGCGCGGTACTTGGCTGACAGTTCGGCGCCTAGGGCGGCGTCGACGAAACGGTTCTCCGCCTCCACGTGCACGAACGCTCTCCACACCCATGGCCTCATCGAGTAGTGCACGCCGCTGCGCTCAAGGCGCTTGGCATCCACCTTGCGCGCCTCGGCGCTGACCGCTGGGGCCGCTCGGAAGACTGACCTCTGAACCTTCATCTGCTGTCTGCGCAAAGCAAAGCCGCCCATAGAGGGTAGATCGATACCCCAAGAATACTTCCCAGTTTCACTCTGCCTCAAGTTCTCGCTGTGCGTGCGCTCTATCATGGCCGCGCTCGTCTTGAGTAGAGGTAGAATTGATGATAGCTCGGCCCTCGCAACCTGACCATTCAAACCGCCACGCGCCTTATAGTGGGAAACGAATCCAGCCGTGTACTCATCGAACACGCACGTAGGAGATCCCTCCAAGTAGTCCAGCGTGGTCGGGTCCCTAAGCAAGTTGAACGTCCTGCGCGGCGGCCTCCTGCGCCGAACCTCCACGAGCTCGTAAGAAGCAGCTGCCAATCTGGAAAGAACCAGGCGCACGTCGAGCTGGGAGTCTTCCTGGACCCTTGTCAACAATGGCCAGTCGGAGTGGAAAATTTCGCGAGACATCACACTTGCAAACTTATGGGCCTCCTCATCGTCGGATGCTGCCCATATCGGGTAATCTCTGGAGCCGTAGTCGACGAGACATTTCTGCTGTTTGAGTTCCCATTCAGCGCCAGATCTCGAGAGCTCGTCCAGGATGAGATAGTGGCAGTGGCAGTGGGGCCCGAGGCGCAGCAGCATGGGGGGAGGTCGCAGCAGCAAGGCGAGGATGAAGAGGGGGAGAGGGAGGAGGAGGATGAGGAGGAGGAGCGAAAGTGGGAAGACCAGAGGCAGGCAATAAGAAGGGAGCGGGAAAGGAGGAGGAGAGAAGGCAAGGTATAGTAGGAGGGGTCGGGGAGGCGGCAGGAGGGCGACGGATCACTGGGGGAAGGGAGAAATGACCTGGACCATAAGTATAGGTCGTCTTTGAAGCGGCCACTCATCAACCATTGCAAAGACTGGCTCTCGCGGGACTTGTTCTCCTCGCGCCACACGCTCACGTCCTTGTGATCATCCTGGCGGGGGTCGTCGGGCATGTCCTGCGGGCGGTGCATATCGTCGTCGCCGCCAGCGAGTAGAGATGACCTGAAATGTTCGCAATACGCAATCGGCAAGATATTGTGGCAAAAGGATGCAAGAGCAAGCCCGCACACGGAGTGATGCGCCCCAGTCCAATTGTTTCTATCCAGCACTGGCCACATACGTCTCCATGATAAGCATAGTCTGTTCCCGAGATGCGCAACAACCGCAACAGTAATGCTCTACTCGGCCCGACCTCCCCCAATCTCCATTGAACAGGCGAGTGACGATGTTCTTCCTGAAGACGTCCGAGGCGCACTCGGTCGGCATGAGAGAATTGATCGCAATACGCCGGTAATCCTCAGCCTCGGCATCCACGTTTGCCGCATTGATGACGACCAACCGCTCTCTAATGATATCTCGCATCGCAGCGCGCAGGGAGGCGTGGTGACCGCGCATGCTCAGCTGAAACCTGATGATATTCGTGTCTATCGGGCGCTGCACGTCCGATCCAAGAGTGGCTACTTTGGATTTTTTGTGTGCGTCACAATACAAGTGCAACGATGCTCGGTCGGGGTGCTTCTGTCGAACCTCATTCTCGAACCTCGTGTTGGCCCCGGCCTCATCACTTATGATAAGGTCCACTGTGCGAAAAAACTTCGAATTCAATTGTGGGTCCAACTCCATCTCCAGATGGGCCATGTACCGATCAAGATATTCTGCTTTAGTGCCGTCCCCGCTCTGCAACAATGAGGGCTCGTTGATGGCAAAGTTCATGATACGAGTCTGGCCGCCCTTCTCCTGCTGCAGGCAGAACGACCTCATGGCCGCCACCACGTTCACCTCGTACTTGGCTTTGTTGTCCTCAAATATGCAAGCGCCTCCAGTCCCAGCCGAGCTCGGCGACGCAACCCGAAAAGAATGTTTGGTGCCATCGTATGCTCTCATGCGAAGCTGGACCAGAGGAATGATTCGAGCATCTGGCTGACCATCAGACGAGTGACGAACGCTGGTGCAGTGCAACATCCACGATGAGAACAATTTCGCGGTGTTTCTCAACGCCTGGTAGTATGCGTGGCTCACTGCACACAAGGATCGATGCCAGTTCGGATCAGCAATGCCACAAAACTCACTCATTTTCTTGGCGCTGCACAGGGTGAACCTATCGCGTTGGCCCCCAATGCCACCGACAATTATGCTGCTAAGACATGGGACTCCAGATGACACTGCATCCTCTGGCAAAGGCTCCAAACGATCACAGATCGCCCTGACCTCTCGCGATATCAACCGAACCCCATGTTTCACCACTGGTGCTGGATGATACAAGCTCGCACTGCTGATCCGAAAAACCTCAGGGGCAGCCATCGGTTGAACGGGGGCTGGAACGGCAACGAGATGACCTGCAGCTGCTGCTGGTGGTGGTATTTGAAAATCTTCGTCCGAATCTGCAGCTGCTGGCCCTGGTATTTGAAAATCTTCATCCGAATCCGATGCGACTGCTGGGACTGGTATCTGAAAATCCTCTTCCGACTCCGATGCAGCATCCAACATCAATCGCGTGCAGCAGAAAAGCGTGCAGCAGAACAGCTTCATTAAGCGGAGGTCGGGTGACGAAACTCCTTCAATTGCCAAAACGGCTGAAGCAAACTCCAAATCATGAGAACGAGGAACGTGTCATGGTGCACTGATTGGAATCATGAATGGTGTATTCTCGGCCACTGCTCTGGTCAAGGCGTTCAATCCAAAACTGACAACGCCGCCTCCACTCAAATATTGAAGGACCCAGTGGTGCCTCAAGCCGGACACAGATTGCCAATGGCGGCTCCAAGATGGCCAAGCACGCTTCCTAACCAGCCTATGGGCCCCAAAACAGCCGACATGGCTTCAAGAAAGCCTGTAATGGCCCCAAGACAGCCTATGATGGCCCCAAGACACCATATGACGGCCCCAAGACTGCCTATGACGGCCCCAAGACAACCTATGTTGGCCCCAAGACAGCCTATGATGGCCCAAAGACAGCCTATGATGGCCCCAAGACAGCCAATGATGGCCCCAAGACAGCCTATGATGGCCCCAAGACAGCCTGCGATGGCCCCAAGACAGCCCATGATGGCCCCAAGACAGCCCATATGGCCCCAAGACAGCCAATGATGGCCCCGAGACTGCCGTTATGGCCCCAAGACAGCCTATGATGGCCCCAAGACAGCCTGTTATGGCCCCAAGACAGCCTGTGTTGGCCCCAAGACAACCTGTTATGGCCCCAAGACAGCCTATGATGGCCCCAAGACAGCCTGTTATGGCCCCAAGACAGCCTATGATGGCCCCGAGACAGCCTGTTATGGCCCCAAGACAGCCTATGATGGCCCCAAGACAGCCTATGCTGGCCCCAAGACAGCCTATGATGGCCCAGAGACTGCCGTTATGGCCCCAAGACAGCCTATGATGGCCCCGAGACAGCCGATAGCCGATATGGCCCCAAGACTGCCTATGGTGGAACATATCCACGAAGAGGAAGATGAAACGGTGGAAGAGGAGGAGGAGATGCATCGTGGAAGAAGAGGAGGAGATAGGAGAAACTAATGGTGGAAGAGGAGAAGGAGATGAATTATTGATATGATGAAGAGGAATCTGAACAAAAACGATCAAGGTCGATCGACGACTGATATGATGAGGAGGAGGATGCAAGATGACTTATGATAACATGGGAGGCGAGTTTTCTGCATTTGACACGACAACGTCGTTCATGAATTGCGCGAAGCAGCGCGCGGGCAAAACAAATGCTGCACACCGCAAGGGGGCGACCAGAACGACGAGAGACCTTGGAATCGGATGCCGCCGCGAACGCTGAAACTATGCGCGAACCGCAAACGGCGCGAAGCAACCTACTGCGTGTCACCAAACGCATCAACGACGACTGGTCATCGTCGAAAACCAATCAATGAAATGCACCTTTTGCGCCGCGAACAAAACCCCATCAAGGTGTTGGGGGGGGGGGCGCAGCGCCCATCAAACCCCCATCAGCATTCTCTCAGCGCCTGGGGCAGGGCATCAAACAGCAGGTTTCGTTTCCATGGCCGACACCCATCAAAATCTATCAACCCGAGACCCCCCTCAGAGGCTCGAATATAACTGTCAAGCGAACGCACTCTCCAGCGCGGCGTCGGTGTGGACCTTCAAGGCTTCCTCGAGCATCCCGTCCAGCTTGTCCTCCGCATCATCCTCGTCCTGCGCGCCGCCCTGCATCTTCAGGAACCTCTCCATGAGCATCTTCTCGGCGTTGACGAGGCTTGGCGGCTTCGCGGCCGCCGAGCCGTCGGCGTCCACAGGTGGCCCATCGCCATGGGCGCCAAACACTCCTCCTGGGCGGAACCTCTGCATCAGACGATCGGCCTCGGCGAGGAGCGCCGACTCCGCCTTCGTCACGTTCATCTGTCGCTGGATGTCGGCGGCGCGTTCGCCCTGGGTCCGAATCAGCTGGGCCAATCCCTCGCTCTCCTCGGCCTCGCCCGTCGTGTCCACTGCAGCGTCCACGTCCAACTTCTCGCAAGTGCCCCCTGCATCTGACGGGGCAGGCTGCTCGGATGGGGCCTCGTCCCCCTGCAGCGGCTGCGCCCGCTCGAAAGCGTAAGGGGCCGCGAAGCGCTGCTGGATCGTGGTCGAGTGCGCCTGCTCGCCGTCGAAGGGCGCCAGCGCGGCGTCGACGTCCTGCGAGCGAGCCTGCTGGGTTGGGTCGCAGCCGCCGTCCGTGGAGTGCTCGTTGTCAGTCAATCCCTCCGCGCGGACGTGGCCCCCCACGACCGCGAACTCCTCGGCGCGCCCGTCCTGCCCAGCGCGCGACGGGATGTCCTCCACCAGCGCGGCTGGGGCGGGCTGCTCGGGCAGCGGCGAGTGCACGCCCCCGGCGATCTCCTCTTGGCAGCGCGGGCGGACGTCGAGGCAAATGAGGCACATGAAACGAGTTGGGGCACAACTTAAATTAGCTGACGCGGGGGGGGGGGGGGTTTATATTGCGCGCTGTTCGTCGCGCGCCATGTTGACCCCGTGTCTCCTGCTGCGGGGTCGGCGGGATGAACGTCATTGACCTCTGTAGTGCCATGCCGCTATAGCTTGCTCGATGAGTTGCATCTGCCAGCAGGCACGCAATGACCTTGACTCGCGAGGTCGCGGCTGCGGTAACGGTGAGGCGGTGACGAGGAGATACCGTAGCTACAATCGCACCTTCCGCGTCTGCCCGCCATCTCCATCGCGCTACTCCCTGCATCGCCCCGTTCCTGCCCCCCCCCCCCCTCCCCCGCCGCGCTTCGCGGGGGGGGGGGGAGGGGGGGAGGGGGGGTGGGGGGGGGGGGGGGGTCAGGAAAGGGGCAGGGCAAGGAGTTCACGAAGGAGGATTGGCGGTGGTTGGAGGGGTGAGAACACATGGGATATGGCGGAGGTCTGGCGGGTCGGGGCTGGAGGGGCAAACGGGAAACGACGCGTGCATTGCTAAGCAAACGTCCTATAACTGAGTGTACTCGGTTTTTGTATTATTATTTTATTTGTTTTATATTTATAAGAAAAAAACTGGTGCCAGCCCCGTCTGGTATGATACTGTGTTTATTTAAATCTCGAGCTCAACCTAGCTCTTGATTAACAGACGGGTGTCTGAAAATGAACCCCGCTATGAGGCCAGCGGCCCACTCCGCTAAATAGCCATTTGCGCCTGCACACAGGCGAGAAGCAACCGTTTGGGGAAAACCAGATATCGAGTAACGCTGTCATGCACTGGCGGAGGACGGGCGAATTCAAGGCCAGAGAGGGCGGATAGCTACGACTAGAGTTCTCATAATCCTCACTGGTCACAATCCGAGTTCTCCGAATCAGTGAAATTCGGAGGGCCGATGATGCCACTCCGCCCCCCCCCCCCGCCCCCCCCCCCCCCCCCCCCCCCCCCCCCGAGGCAGGACGTTCGAGCCCTTGGACTTGGCCATGACGCCCGACTGCGTGAGATCGCCCTCGAGCTCCCTCTCGCTCTGACTGTGCACCGCCCCAGCCTCCCCAGCCGAGATCCGTGGCTGAGGCGATGGGCAGCGCGGGCGCGCGGGCGGCGGAGTCTGCACCCCGTCCGCGACCTTCGGCTTCTCCTCGGTGGTCCGCGGCTTCTTCCTCGCGGCGTTCGGCTTCTCCTCGGCGGTCCGCGGCGCCCTCTGGTCGATGTAGTGCTTCTTCTCCTGCTCGGCCTCTTCTTCGGTGATCGCCCCAGCGGCGTAGCGAAGCGCCCGATTCTTCATGAACCCCATGGCGTCCTCCTCGGAGTCGAAGCGCTTGCAGTTGATATTGAAGAAGTTCTCGCCGTTCTCCTGGACTCTGCACAACCGTTGCTTCTGCGAGCCCTTGGGCCCGTCCCAGATGAAATTGACAGAGACGACGTCATCGCCCTTCTGCGTTTCCCACCTGAGCTTTTTTTTCTCTCCCGCGCCCGTCGCCGTCTCGAACTCCTCGCCCTGCTGCTGCGGCGACTTGCCCTTCTCCGAGGGCTTGTCCTTCTTCTCCTTCTCCGAGGGCTTGTCCTTCTTCTCCTTGTCCGTGGCAGCGGGGACCTGATCTTCGCCGTTCTGCCACATGGCCACGGTGCACATCAGCATCTCGCGCGCGTAGCCGCTCGGAAACTTAGCCATCGCAGGGTCGCAGCGCTTGGCAAGCTCTGGAACCCAGACGTCCTCGGAGAACTCGATGACGGCCTTCTTGCCCCCGTTGATCTTCTTGCGCCAAGCGCACTGCATCTCTGCGTCGAAGCCGCACTCGAAGTCGCCCTCGTCGGGATTTGGCGGCGAGCTGACCGCAGCGGGCCCGGCGACCTCGACGATCGAGCTGCCGCCCGACTTCGCCTTGATCCTCTTCCTGGTCTTCGCTGAATCGTCGTCGCTGACCGAGCCTGGGCAGGCTGCTGCAGGGCGCTTCGACACCAGCGGCCGGGGGTCCTCATCCCCATCCTCATGCTCACCCTCGCCGAAGATGCCGAGCGCCTTGAACCACTGGGGCCCGCCGCCCTGCATGGAGTTGCAGTTGCCAGCCCGGGCCGGGGAGGGGGGTCGGCGAGGAGGGGGTAGGCGGGCGGGAAGCGGGTGGGGAGCGGGCGGGAAGCGGGCGGGAAGCGGGCGGGAAGCGGGCGGGAAGCGGGCCTGCAGGTGTTTCGTTACACTCCCGAGTCTATGTCTCACCCCTCTCCTTCTTCCTCTTCCTCCTCCTTCCTCTTCCTGCTGCTCCTCCTCCTCCTCCTCCTCCTCCTCCCCCTCCTCCCCCTCCTCCTCCCCCTCCTCCTCCCCCTCCTCCTCCTCCGCCTCCTCCTATGCGCTTCGCGATAGATCTGAATCTCTGAATATGAACCTCCTCCGCCTCCTCCCCCTCGCTCGCCCAGTCCGTGGTTTGATGGTGGGCCCCGCGCCCGCACGTGGCCCTCACCCGTTTCGACTGCTCGGTCGCCCATTCGTCGATGAAGCGCCCGCGCAATTTGATGCTGGCCCCGTCGCCAGCGACGTCCTTCAGGGCCTTCTCCATGCTGAGCTGGTTGAAGCCCAGGTTTGATGCAACCTGGGAGCGCCATTGCCCCCTTCACCGACTCCTCGTCCTCACCCTTCACGCCTGCTCCTCCTCATCCATGCTTTCTCCTGCGTTAAATTCCTTCTCACTCCTCTCCCTCACTCCTCCTCCTCATGTCCTCCTTCCGCCCATTGTTTCCTGTCCTTCCCTCCTCTCTATTATGTTGCATCACTTCCCCATCCTCCCCCTCCTCTCCCTCCTCCTCCTCGTCCTCATCCTCAACCTCAGCCTCGTCCTCATCCTCGTCCTCCTTCTTCTCATTTTCTACCCAATGGACTTTACGCTTCCCTCGTGACCTCGTGGATAGCCCGCGACATATCCTTGGCCTCCGTGAGCTTCTCTTGGTCCACGGGGCCCCTGTCCATCTGGTTCCCGTAGTCACAGAAATCTGGCTTAGTAACGAACTCCCCCGACGCGTTGGCCATGCCTTCCGCATCTGAGCACGTCTGGCGCGAGCCACGTGCCATGGGGCGCTGGGCCCCTGCGAGCCTGCAGCTCGAAAAGCTCGAGAACAATGAGCTTAAGTGACCTGAGATCCTTCTCCCCCTCCCCCTCCTCCCCCCTCCTCCCCCCCCCTCCTCCTCCTCCTCCTCCTCCTCCTCCTCCTCCTCCGTCCTCCTCCTCCTCCTCCTCCTCCTCCTCTTCCTCCTCCCCCTCCTCCTGCTCCTCCTTCTCCTCTTCCTCCCTCCCCTCCCCAGAGTAGTGGTGGTGGAAGATCAGCCGATCAGTTTTGAATCTCTCTCTCTCTATATATATATGTGTGTATCGTTCCCCCTCCTTGTTCCCCTTTTTTCTCCTCATCCCCCCTACCCCTACGCGCGGCGGCATCGCCTCCCCCCCCCCCCCGCACCCGTTTGGTTCATCGGACAGGCGAAAACGACCCCGACGCCGAGCCCCGACCTGCAATGCGAAGAACGACGCATGGGGACGAGGAAAAAGAGGAGAGAGAAGGGACATTATAGATATAAGAAGCGAGTTTTTAGCCAGTAGTTCGTAGTCACCTAGGCAAGCCCTCTATATGCAAGCGCGATGTACGCGGTCAAAAGCGAAACCTGGTTCTGGCCCATATCAAGCAAATTCGTACATAATAAGCAAATTTATGATAAGCTTAAATCAAGCTACAGGGATCCTCTGGGTTCGACTCCATCAGCCACCTGTCGCGGGCTGCGGTAAAGCCGTCGAGGGGGCGCAAGCACATCTCGTACACCGAGTCCTGCAACGTCCCGGGGCCCTTGGTGCACAGGGGCACGCTGGGGTCGCGCACGCCCAGGGCCGCGTCGGCGGAGAAGGCCACGGGCGTCGGGGTGCACGGCCGCGGCAGCAGGCGCGGAACGCCCTTCGGCAGCAGCGGCGGGTGGCCCAGGCCCCAGGCGGCGAGGTCCGTGCCAGGCGCGACCTCGGTGAGAGACACGATCTCGCCGTACACGGTCACAAAGGCACGGCCCCCGATGTCCAGGGCCGTCGGCGACAGCGGCACCTCCTCCCCCAGCACGAAAGCATCCACGGGTTCGTCCAGCACCCACGCCCCAGCAGGCCCCACCAGGCGAAGCGGAAGCAGCTCCGCGGCCGCGCCGGGGGCAGGGGGCGCCACCACAGGCAGCGGCGTCAAGACGGCCGCAGGGGCCACCCCCCCCGGGCCAGCGCGAGCAATGTCCCCACGCGGCGCGGCCAGCCCTCGCGAGGCCCTCTCGACCTGCGCGTGGCGTTCGCCCTCGGCCAGGAGCTGCATCAAGTCCATGCCCGCTGGGCGCACCTGGAATCGGTATACCTGCATGCCAGCCTTGCCGAAGGGAAGCCGCCCGTCGGCACCGCCCAGCCGTAGACCCTGCAACCCGGCATTGGCGGCGTCGATCTGTTCAATACAAAAATCTAAATCGGGGGAGTCCACCACGTACTCGTTCGCAGACACCCAGCTCAGGATGATGCGCTCATGGTACAGGTCGTCCCCTACATAGAACAGAAAAGCTGAAGAGCCAGGCTCAAGGAAGGCCGTGCTAGGCCTGCACGGTCACCCCGAGCTTGCCCTTGCCCTTCACAGACCCTGGAGGGGCCGAGTCCGCAATCTGCGTGACGATGGGCCCGGGCGTCTCGACTATGCCCCCGCTGTACGCTGTCCAAGGCGCGGCCCCCACCCGTCGCACCGGCAGGCCCACGCCTGCCCAGCAGGTGGTACACTCCGCGCCGACGATCAGTCCCACCAGGCCAGCGAGCAGCACGTCGCCCGTTCCCCAGCCAGGCGCTGGCCGCGCAGACGAGCGCGAGGTCCGAGGGCCCGCACCTGTTGAGCTGCGACTGCAGCAACTCGATGAGATCAGGCTCCGCCGCCGAGCCCGTGCAATGGCAATGCAGAGGCTGCGGCGCCACCCAATGGCAGAGCCAGGTGCCTCTCACGTTGGTGACTACACCGTGGAAATATACCGTGAGGAGATTCACACACACACACACACACACGAGAGACCTAGAGCCACAATGATCACGGAAGACCACGTTTCCCAGCCCCCCTCCTGGCACTCACTAACCTGTACACTGATGCATAAGGTTTTGGCCACATGTTGGCCTCCTGGGGGGGGGTGCTAATTGAGGACCCCTTTTTTATAGATATCCTCCAACATGGCCTCAAGAAGCGCCCAGGAGGCCCCAAGAGGTCCCAAGATGGCCCCAAGATGGCCCCAAGAGGCCCCCAGGAGGCCCCCAAGAGACCCCCAAGAGGACCCAAGAGACCCCCAAGAGGCCCCAAGAGGCTCCCAGAGATACGCAAGAGGCCCCGAGGAAAGAGGCCCCCAACCTCGCCATTGTCCTCCTCCTCCTCCTCCTCCTCCTCCTGCTCCTCCTCCCTCCTCCTCCTCCTCCTCCTCCCCTCCTCCTCCTCCTCTTTTTCTTCCTTTCCCCTCCTCCCCCATCCATCTCCTCCTCCTCCTCCTCCTCCTCCTCCTCCTCCTCCTTCTCCTTTTTCCTCCTTCTCGTCCTCCACGTCCTCGCCCTCCCCCATCTCCTCCTCCTCATATTCCTCCTCCTCATCTTCCTCCTCCTCCTCCTGTTTCTCCTCCTGTTCCTCCTCTTCCTTCTCCTACTCCGACGACGACGTCTCCTACTATATCATCCCCCTCTTGGGGTATATGGCGGCTTACCTCGCCCTTGATATTCTGTATGTTCCCCCGATTCCCTCTTTACCTCCACTCCCCTGGGGCTCATTTCCGGACGGGCTGGTGGGGATACTTTTTTGGTCGGCGGCCGCGCGACAATGGTCTGGCGGCAACGGGCGTGTCCGGGACGGCGGAACAGGCAAATTCCACGCGAGGCGTGCTATGCACGCGCACTGAGCAAAATGCTCAGCATTCACTGGGACGCCTGGTGGGGATACTTTTTCGTTCGGCGGCTCGAAGGACAGATCCAGCGAGCGGGAATAACGTCTGGGCCACAGAGCGAGATCATTGGCTGCAGAGGCGCATAGGCCGCTGTAGCGAGTGCACAGGCCAGGGACAAAGTGACCCTCATTGGGGACCGATGCGTGCGGCCAAGCAAATGGGGACGCAAGCACAGTACCGGAAACGGACGGAAAAAAACAGTCGCACACATGGCGCCAAGCTCCGGCAGTACCGTGCAGCACGTAGGCGTGAAGCACGCCGCACTGTGGCGGCACGTGATGGTCAGGCGTGGCCAGCACCGCCCATGCAACAGAAGGTGAGGCAAAGGAACAGGAGAGACACAGCGGACGCCAGGGCACCCGGCGGCAGGAAAATGAAAAGGCACAGAGAGAAGCCTCACTCGCAGTGACTCACTGGACGTTCTTGGACGTGAGACTGACCGGTGCCCAGTCAGCGGACCAGTCGTCAACGCCGTCTGTGTCCACAGCATGCAACTAGTCCGACACGGAAGATCGGAGGCGTAAAAATGCAAGCACTGGCCAAGGCACCTGAACGAGGGACCAGCCGGGGGAACCGCGATGACCTGCCAAAGGATGAACCACTTGTGCAGGAGATTGAACGCGAGGGCGACGACACCAGTCAGCGAACCTGACGTCGAAGTCGCCGGCGTCCACCGCGTGCAACTTATCCGACATGGAAGATCGGGAACACAAGGTTGCAAGCGTTGTCGAGGCACCTGCACGAAGGACCAGCCGGGGGAACCGCGATGACCTGCCAAAGGATGAACCAATGGTGCAGGAACACGCCCATGCCAGGCCCGACTTCGGGCGGTACCAGAAGCGGGCGAGGTGCGCCGGTCTTCACCTTGCCGAAGCCCAGCCCCTGTAGCGCCCAGAAACGTACAATGTGGGCCAGACCCGCAGGTGGGGGCGGCCCGCTGGCCACTGTGGCGGCGACCATGGGGGGGGGGGGGAAGCCACTCCCACGCGCCCTCGCGACAGCGTGCTCAGCTGGCGACCAGCCGATGCACCGCGCCATGTCGACCAGGGAGTCTGGGGGAAATCACTGCTGCGGTGTCTAGCGCAGGCGGGCCCTGTGCGACCTGTGCGTCTGCTGGCACGGCTGGAAGCGAGATCCTGGGCCACTGTTACCCACTGGGGCGGCTGAACCTGTCGGCCCCCCAGTCGCGATGTCCCTTCACAACGCTGGGGGCGCAGCCATGCGCCGCAGAGACTTGCGAATGAACGCGGGGGGTGCGCCCAAGTGCCGCTGGCACGACAGCCATGCCCAGGGCCTCCACTCTTGGACCGTGCCACAGCACTGGCACGTCCTCAACCAAGGCACACTTCGCTCTGGGCCATAGTGACCCGCTGTGGTGGCTGAACCTGTCGGCTCCCCAGTCACGATACCCCTTCACAACGCTGGGGGCGCAGCCAAGAGCCGCAGAGACTTGCGGATGAACGTGGGGGGTGCAACCAAGTGCCATTGGCGCGACGCCATGCCCAGGGCTTCCACGCTTGGCCCGTGCCACGTCACTGGTAGGTCCTCAACCAAGGCACACTTCGCTGAGGGCCCTGGGGGCCCGGAGGGGTGGCTGAAGCTGTCAGCCCCCCTGTCGCGACGCCCCTTCATAACGCTGGGGGCGCAGCCAAGAACCGCAGAGACTTGCGCATGAAGGCGGGGGGTGCAACCAAGTGCCGCGGCACGACGACCGTGCCCAGGGCCTCCACGCTTGGACACGACCAAGGCACTGTCACGTTCCCAGCCAAGGCACACTTCGTTGGGGGCGCAGCCAAGAGCCGCAGAAACTGGCGAATGGAGAGCGGGGGAGGGAGGAGGAGAAGGGGAAGCGAGACCAACCCGGCGCTGGGCGACAGCCCAGTCGCATTTGCGGGGCAGGATCGACCTCGGAGATAAGGATGGGGCACGCCGCCAAGAGCCGCACGGAGTGGTGAACTTGCCGGAGAAGGGCACGGCCAAGAGCCGCAGAGCCCTAAAGTGGTGAGATGCAGGGGGGAAGCCCGCCGTCGCTGGACACGGTAGGCGACCCCCGCCTGCTGTCGAGCCATGTCTATTGAAAGGTGGAGCGCTGGGGGTGGGTTGCTTCAGCCACCAGTCCCTGTCGTCCAAAGTGGGTGCCCCTGAGGGGCCGCGCTGACGGCCCCCTGCCCCGTGGGGTAGTCAGGTCTATGGGCTGGCCGAGCGGCAGTAGGTTACCCAGCCATTGCCGCCCGCGTTGCCAGGAGGGGCAGGACGCGGGGGGGGGGCTATTCCAGCCACCGGGCCCACCGTCCAGGGTGGATCCACGAGACCAGCGTGGGCTGTCTAGTTCGCGGCGCACGGGTATTAGCGCACCTCTGACCCAGAGGAGGTAGCACGGGGCATTATGGCCGAAGCCTAGCGCTGCGGTGAAACTTACCCATGTCGTAGCCAGGAGCATCCATCAGGAAAACTTCGACCGTGGGGTGGCTGGCGCCCCCCATTGGCTTCAGTCCACAAGCTCACCGTCGCCGTTCGAGGCGAAGGGCCGGTTGAGGACCACGGGGCTGCCAACCCAGCGGGCCCCCCCAGGCGCAGCGGGATCCCAGATGGCCCACAGGGTCAGCGCAATAGAAACCACCTAATAAGGAGGTGGAGGCTGCGCCCAGCTGTCCGAGATCATTGCTGTCCAGGAAGCACGCGTTGCGTTCCATGGCGGGCCGAGTCGCGACTCTGAGAACTGACGTGGCCCAGAGCACCAGAGATGGACTCGAGCCGCAGAAGGGCTGCACGCACCACCCCCATCAGAGGACGGGCAACAGCGGAGGGGGGGGGAGAGGCGAGGAGGGGGGGCGGCCGAGTGCGTGCACGGGGAGAAAGCCATGTCGGCGCGGGCCGCGGCGTTCCCGACGCAAGGGGGGGGGGGGGGGGTGCGCGCGGACCGAGCTGGCCCACTTGTGCCCCGATCACTTGGGTCGGAAGTCCCACCCCCGCGGGCGCTTGTCTGCGTGCTGGGTTGCCCCTCTGGGCGAAAACCGCTTACCCTTCGCCTTCCAGTCAGTGTCAGTCCATGTATCTCGCTGATGGCCCCACGCGTCCCAGGACTGCCATGCACGCCACGGTGCGCCTGACCCAGATGCCCCTGACCATGCAGCATCCCTGCCTTCAGTGGTCCATGGGGGGGCCTTTGCAGCCTCCTTGCCTTCGACGGTACATGGCGGTGGGCGTCCGCTGCCGACGGGCCCGTCGGCGGTGCGCGGTCTGGTGTCGCGTTGCGTAAATTTGCGATGCTTCCCCATGACACTCGGCCAGTCGACGTGGAGTTGGTATTATCTATCCATCTTGTAGGCGTCGAACCCCATTTTGCTCCATGCCTGTAGGAACTCGCTGAATTGGTGTGCTGTGTTTAGCCTGGGATCGGACTTGATGTAGGTACTCCCTTGACTGAGGGCTGCCTTCCTGGCCCAGGCGCTCCAGGCTCGGTTAAACGCGCCTCCCAGCGCCTTCTGCATCCGTGTGATCTTGTCGGGTGCTGGCTCGTCCCTTGCAACGTCTGCCTCGTCGATAGACCTCAAGTACATGGGGAGGCCTCCCATGGGGTCGTCAGGGCGCGCTGCGGGCATTGCCGCAGACCGCGCGTCGTGCCACGAGTCCTGGGTGTTGCGCCATGGTCTGGATGAGTTGCGAGGCGGCGGCGTGGCTGAGCGCTCTCTGGTACTGGCTTCGTCAGCTGCGGGTGCACGGCGGCCACCTTCGCCCCCCGAGTATCTAAGAGTCCTGCCGTCACTGCCTGCGCAAAGGCTCCGTGTCCGACCCTCTCTGGGGCGGGTATCGCCTAGGGCGCGCCCGTCACTGGGTGTTCCTCTGGCGGCAGCCCGCGCAAATGGGGACCAGGCTTCTGAGTCTGCCCTGAGGGGAGGTTTAGTCCAGAGCGGGGGGGGGCTCTGGGCCATCTTGTCGTCCGTGGGGGCTGTGACGCAGGCGTCGCCCTCCGGATGGGTAGGGCTGACCTGCGATCCGGAGCGAAGACCCACAGACAGCGGGAGAACCTGACCAACCGTGGCCGAACAGACTGCGGATTGATGCAACCCAAATCTAGCGACGAAGACTCCGCAACCCTGCCTCTGGGAACGGGCCGGGCGTGTCCGCGGGTCTCTTGTCCCATTCCCACAGCCTCAATCCTGTCCTGAAGATTTCTAGACAGGCCCCGGAGCCCAACTTGCCGAATCTGTAGGGGGTTACAGTCGGCATTGATTGGACAGGACACGCGAGAGGCCACAAGACCCTTCCGAGGGCCACATCGCCACGGGGGATGTACGAGGCACGTGTCGCGGGGCATAGGACGCAAGGTCGCCCTTGAGCTGGCAGGGTCGACCTACTAATCCGGGCCGACTGTAGCCTCGTTCCTCGGGGGCCCGTCGCGTCTCCCCGCATGACGCGCTCGGGCCCAAGGGGCCTCCAAGACGGGCCAAGAGAGCCCAAAGAGGCTCCCGACACGGCCCCAAGAGGGCCCCGAAACGCCGAGCGATCGCCCCGGGGCGCCCATGATGGCCCCCAGACGGCCCGGGAGGCCTCCGAGACTTCCAAAAAGGCCTCCAAGAGGCCTCCCAAGAAGGGCCCAAGAGACCTCCCGAGGTCGTTGAATTAGTTTGGCGTTCTCGCCTTGGCGGTTTCCCAACGCCGCCAGACTGGCCTAGCCCCCAATGCCGCTGCAAAACCACCCAAGGGACCTCCAAGTGGGCCCCAAAGCCCAAAAAGGCTCCAAGACAGCCCCAAAAAGGCGCCCACAACGGCCCAACATGGCCCCAAGACGGCCCCAAAACGGCCCCGAAGGATGGAATACGAACCGAAAATCTGAGCATTCCGCCCCGGGCCCCTAGGAAACCTCAAGAGGCGCCTAGGAGGCCCTCAGAAACCCCCAGGAGTCCCCCCAAAGGCCCCAGGAGGCCCCCAAGAGACCCAAAAGAAGCCCAAAGAGGGCCCCAAAATTGCCCCAAGAGGCAACCAAACTGCCTCCAAGAGGCCCCCAAGAAGCCCCCCACGAAATTCTAACGAATATCCAATCGACTTATCCCCACACCCCAGGCAAGGTGGCGAGATGGGCCGAAGGCCATTCGATCCGCTGCCCCCTGTTGATTCGTCACAGGGGTGCCTGGCGTGCCAGACCCTTTCGTTCTTCTCCAAAGAAAAACTCCCCCTGGGGTTTCGGCACGTCCCACCGGAGATGATGCGTAGGAAGTGGCTGCAATGAATTGTTCGGCCCCAGACGGCTCTAAGATGGCCTCCAAGATGGTCAAGATGGCCCAAGATGGCCTCCAAGTTCGCCCAAGATGGTCCAAGATGGCCTCGAAGACGGCCCAAGAGAGTCCAAGATGCCTCCAAGTTCGCCCAGGAAGCGAAGCCTCCAAGACGGCCCAAGATGGCTCCAAAATTGCCCTAAGACTCTGCCCAAGAGAGCCCCAAGAGCCCTCCAATAGCTCCACCAGGAAGACCCGAAAGGACGAAGTGACTTGATGTCCCTGTGGTTTTTGAAGGATTTGACACTTTCGTTTTTTTTTTTTTCAGCTCTCCGACGGCCGAAGACGGCCCAGAAGGCCTCCAACATCGCCCCAATAGCGCACACACAAGAGGCCTCCAATACGGCCCCAAGGACAGCCCAAGAAATCCCCGAGAGGACCCCAACAAGACCCCAAGACGGCCCAAAAGGCCCCCAAAACGCCCAAGATGACATCAAAGACTGACAACATGGCCTCCAAGATGCCTTCAAGACGGCCAGGAAGGCCTCCAAGACGGCGAAGATGGCCCCAAGATGCACCCAAGACGGCCCCAAGACGTAAAGGCCCGCCAAAAGTCTCCAAAAGGGCCCAAGAGCCCTCCAACACGTCATCCAAGAGTCCCGAAAGCTCGGGAACCACCCGGTACGATATCGCCCGACGCCGCATCCCCCGAAAACTTTCGAAACCCACTCGGGGAACGCGTGGCCCGATACCTCGGCAATGCTCAAGCCCGACCTTCGGCCACGTAGGCGCTGCCAAATAGGCAGGGGCGGCGGTGATTCGCCGTAGGTGTCTTCAATAAAACATGGCACCGTGAATCCGCGAGTCTGCAGATACTCCTCTCCTTGAACCGCGCAGCCGCGGCAGCAATGCCGATGGCAAAGAGGTTTTGATATTTTACATTTCGAACCACAACGACAACAATCATATATATATATATGTGCGTTCATTCAAATCGCGCACACATTCACCCGCAACACGGGAAAACAGTGTCAAACCAAACCTATAAGATACAACTAGAACGCACGAAACAAGGTGGGATTCCACACTCGACAAACTTTCCAATCGGTCTGGCGACCTGAAGCATTGAGGGGACAACAATTAATGCCGGTCAGACACCATCGCTCTGACAAGGCAAGAGAGCGAGAGAGAGAGAGAGACAACAAAAAATGATGGGGAAACAACAGCAAACACAAACCAAATAAAAGGAGACCAAGACATAGCACTGACCCTGGATTGAGGTTTGGACTCGAGGAACCCTTCGTCGAGACTCCCTCGGACTTCAGCATCCGCTCGGGAGCGGCACGCGATCGGTCCTTTCGCGCTGGGGTCTTCCGTCTGGCCTCAAGCTCAATAGTTTCATCCACCAACGCGAGTCGACCCTAGACCAAAGCCTGAGAGAGAGAGAGAGAGAGAGAATGATAATGAGAGAGAGAGAGAGAGAGAGCGAGAGAGAACGAGAGAAAGAGAGAGAGAGAGAGAGAGAGAAACAGAGAGAAAGCAGCGTTGGACTTTCCTATGTCGTCCTCGGTCAGGGCATCCACCGCCATCGTAACATGAGGAACCCACCTTCGCCTTGACCAAACTTCTGCGGCATGATCGCCAGCTCCAGGCCGGCGCGCCTGTCCCTGGACGACGCGCTTCCCTCCTTCATCATCGCATCGTATCCTGACTTGGCGTCTATCATATAGGGTCTCTCGCCGTTCCCAAGTTCACACTGAGCGCACAGCGCCGGAATAAAATTGGCCCCGAGTTCTCGCGCAGGCGGGAACATCCAAAATCGTGGAACATCACGTCGCGACACAGCACCGAAACGCACTCGACTTCGGCAACAGCCCCCGGGAGAGAGAGAGAGAGAGAGAGAGAGAGAGAGAGAGAGAGAGAGAGAGAGAGAGAGGAGAGAGAGAGGGTTTCCCCCACCAGGGTAGATGCAATCTCCGCCATCAGCTCGCTGATTCGCCATCCGAGGATGGACGCCTGGAGAGACTGATTTCGAAGCAAATCCGCATCCGCGGCAAGAACCCCCCAAGGCCCCTAAGTCGGGGCCCCGGGCAAACCGTCGACGCCATCCACCCCGGCGCGGGATCCGAGGCCCCCCGCGCCCGAGCAGGTCACGAACGCCATGCTCTCTGGGCCGAAAGGCCGCGCAATAGTCCCCCGGGGCGCGGGCATCGCGCCCCGCATGGTGGGAGCTGCAGGCCGGGGCGCCAGGGCGACGGCCGCCCCCGAGGCCTTCGGGCAACACTCACGACCACCCAATTCAGCTTGTAGATCAGCGATCGGAGAGCCATCAACTGTTCTCTCGAGAGAGGGTCGTCTCTGTTAGCCACCCGTCCAGACCCCTCCTTCGCGGGGGAGACCCCCTCGAGGATGTACTTTTCCATATCCACTACAGCCCCATCATCTGCGAAGGTGGGTCTCCGGACAGCATGGCCCACGGAGCCCGCGCGGCAGTCGCGGCATTCCCCGGAGTTGCCGAAGTTGACTGTACTCTCGAGCTTCTTTCGACGCCAGGTTCGCTCAGACTTCCCCCAAGACGCCAAAGGGAAACCATCGCCCTCCAAATGAACCACGTTCCAACGCTCCTTCCTCGGCCCGCAGAGAACGCGCCAGCGTTGCCCCATGGGGAACTTCACAAAGACTGACTCTGCAAGCTCCTTGACCACGGCTCTACGCCAAGCAAAGCGGGGCGCCGTCCAACCCACGTGCGTTGACCAGCAAGCGCATCAGACACCCAAGGGGGGCGAGAAGCCCGTCGCAAGGCCCCGCGAACAAATCCCCCCAGCTCGAGAGGTGCTGTCCGACAGACAGATGGCGTTCTTCACGACCGCAGCGTCGGCCCTCATCCTCGGGCCCATCGTGACCCGTGGGAACATCATGATTGAGCTGGTCTGGGGGTTCGAGAGCCCATTTCTATGGCCCCGGCGCCGGGGTCTCGGCGCCCGCGCACACGTCAACAAGACTTGGCCGAGGGAGAAGCGACGGCGCCTACTGCGGGCTTCCACCGACGCACTATCCGAATGGCGACGATCCACTCGGGCGCGACCCTCCGCGCGGCATCCGATTCCTTCCAAGGGGGAATCTCCGCGGTCTTGGAAACCAAAATCAACTCCCATCCAGCGAGATCGGACGCATCGAACCTAGCGCGTTCCCCGGGAATGAGGCGGTCGATCAGAGCCTCGACCCACGGCGAAACACTCGGCGGACGGGGGGGGGAGCTCTGGCAGAGTCGCCCAGGTCGTCTGTCGGCCCTGACAACCCCGACCCTTCCCCGGGGGATCCGCTCTCACCCCGAAATTCGTCAGTCCGATCGAACTGCCACCGCCTGCCCCTCGGCCCTAGGGAGCTGACCTGGCCCGCGAGACGGGGGGCGCCGGACAGGCCCCTGCCGCTGCTCCATCTCGGCGACCCGTCGGCGCGCCTGGCCCGTCGCTTCCGGGACACCCGCTGAATTTCCGCCGCCCGGCCTGACGGCGCCCTCGACTCTCGACCCTTCCGAGACCACTGGGGAAGGAGGGGGGTGGAAGCGGGGACAGCTCGATAATTTCCCGGGGGAGGACCCATCGTCGCTTCAACTCTGGGCTTCTTCGGCTCAGATTCACCATCCTTCACCTGCGCCTGGGTGACGGGATTCAGCTCTGCCCTGACTCGCTGGATTGACAGAGGGGCGTCGCCGGGCTGTCCCTCCCAGACCTCGCTGGGCGGTCCGATCGAGGGGGGCCCCGAGGAGCGGGGAAGCACCAGAGGCGACGAGAGGAGGGGCGCGTCTCCGCCCCCGAGGGGGTTGAAGGAACCTGATCTGACTGATCTCCGCTCGACGGGAGAGGCGGGGCTTCGCGATCCTCCGCGATAGAAGGCAGCCCCGTGGACCCGGGACGCGGGGCCCTCTGGGCCCCCGGCCCAATTCCATCGGCGGCCCCCGGGCCCAGCTGCCTTCGACGGGAGGGGTTGCTGCCATGCTTCTTCCGTCGGGCCCCCCTAGCTCCCTCTGAACGCCCGCTGCGACAGCCCGCTCGGCGCCAATCTGACGCCGCAGCCCCTGCCACTCTGGGCTGCATTCCGAGATCCTCGCCTGGACTGGCGGGGCGCACCTGAGCCGGGGAGCACTTCCAAAGACGCAAATTCGCAACCCGCGCGGCCCCCTGCTCACGCGCCACATCCACGCCCGGGTCGCCCAAGGCCCCTTGCCCGAGCCCCAAAGAGCCCAGACGGGAAGGCCCTGGAAAACTGGCGCCACGCGAACGCCCACTGACCCAGGACAAACTTGCGAACCCAGGCGATCCACGCACCGCTCGCGCGCTGGACCTGGCCCCGGGGCACCACCTCCAGAGCCAGCTCTCGCGCTCGGCCCCGAACCCCCTGGGCCCTGGTAGATTCAACTCCCACTGGATCCTGATCCGAAGGCGATCTAACGATTGTCTACCAGCCAGGGGGCCCCACGTGGTCATCGCTAAGCAACTCATGGAGGCCTCGGGGGTTCTCCCCCTGTACCACAAACGGTTCTTATGCCCGACACGCTCGATAACCAACGTTTCCGACTCTCCCACATCTCGCGGCATGTCCGAGCCGGCATCGACCTCAGCCTGGAGCCGATCCTCAATCCATTCCTCGCGCCCCTCGTACCTTCCGCACCCCCAGGGACTCCGCGTTGGCGACGTGATGCCTCGCCACAGCCTGCGATATTCATCGAGCGAATCTCTCTTCCAACACGGGCCCACAGCCCGAAATCAACAGACGGGCATTGCCGAAAGGCCAGACCCATGCCCGAACAAAGGCCTTCCACGCAATGGAAGCACGCCCGCCTACCGCACTCGCGACGACGCGAAGGTCAGGCCCGTGCCCCACCACATCCAGAAATCGCACGTCACCCGCGCGATAACGAAGGGAACGGATCCACAGCAACGACGCGACCGAAACGAAACATTCGGGGAAAGGCTACCTTGTGGCGCGCGCCCTGTCGAGCGCGCTCGCTGCACTCACCGCGCGAACACTTGCGCGCGATCCATCGAAGAAGGCGAGCCCGCCACCCCGCCCCGCTCCCGCCCGCAACGCCCCGGGAAATGTCCGAGACGTGGAGTCACCAATGTAAAAATTACAAACGGTGAATCAGTCCGTTGTCCGACCCGAGGGGTTCCAGATCGGGCCCCCTGGAGGCCCGCCTCGGTCGGGCCCGTCTCCAGAGCCCTCGCCCCCCAGGTCTCGGAGGAATTATTCTTCTTCTTCCGAGGCCGCCGTGCATTCCGCGGCTTCCGCTGGCAAAGCCGAACTTGGGCCTGAAAACTCCAAAGCCACGTTTAAGCCCCGAGGGAGAGAGCCCGCCCTGGCCCCACGACTGCACCCCACGCAATGGACCCGGCGAGCTGGCGGGCGCGCGCGCGAGCCTTGGCTGGGCGGCCGCCCTCCAGGATCACTCGACGGCGCCCTCCCAGGCATGCCTCGGTCTCGAGCGCCCTGGCCAGGTTAGGGAAGTCACTCATGATCCCGGCGGGGTTCTCGCTGAGGCCTCGGGGGGAACCTGCAAACCGCACGCGCGCGCAACCACTCGGATGCGCTCCACGCCCAGCCGGGAAGCAACGGGCCGAACCATCGCCGACTTCCAGGATGAGGCCAAGAGTGGGCGTTCAAACGAGAAGAACCGACCCTGGCGCACCCAGCACACGGCGGCTTCCATGCGCCAATCCACATCTCCGAAGCCCGCGGGCACCACGCGTTGCCTCTTTTCGGGGCCACGCCAGCCCTGGCCGACATTGCGCAGGATAGAGAAAGCCCAGTGGAGACACTATCAGAATCAAGAGCTTGTCCAGTCTCCCATCGCCCACGTCGCTCTGACATCCTCGGGGTCGCCTGAATCCCATCCCTCGACCAGATCGAAGCTAGCATCTAGCCGTCTCTCCTATCGGGAGCACCGTCTCACTGGCTGCCATGGACACCCGCGCCCGGGGGAAGCTCCACGGCCGCCGCGCGAGCTCCAAGCAGGCTGGGCCAAGGCCTCTCGGGGCCCAAGCCGGCGCGAGTCGCCGAGGGCTCGGGGGAGCTGGGCCTTCTTCTTGCGGGGCAGGAACGCCGCGTGATCACCGCGGGAACGATCGCCAATCACCCGGGACTACAGAGCAGCGGGAGGGCCCCGAGAGCCGAAATAGGCATGCCCCGGATGGACGGGCGCCCTGCGACACCAGCGCCGCGAGCGGCAGTCCATATCACGACTCGCGCGCGCATGCGCCAGACCGAGCTCCTCGGGCGCCGGCCCCATCGCCCAGCTTCGCTTCCTCCTCGGGCCCCTGGGGCCCCGAGCCGCGGTGGTCGGGGAAAACCGTCCCCGCGCCCCCAGCCGCCTGACTCCCGTTCGCCGTCGGGCGGCGCCAGGGGCCCTCGGTCTGGGGGCGCGAAGCTCTGCCCTGGCGCCGCCTAGATCGCCTGCTGCTGCTGGACACCTCCGAGGACGCGGCGCTGCAGGCGGTCGATGACCATCTGCATATGGTGGAAAGCGTTGGCGCGCAAAGCCAGCGACGTGCTGATCGAGTTCCTGAGGACCTGGACCTGGTCGGCAACGCTCGCGACGTTGCCCGCCTCTCGGCCCAGCGCGCCAGTCAAAGCCCAGCGGAGCAACGTGATCCGCCCCCGCAAGGGAAGCACGCCGCGGGCCCAAATCGCGCCCAGCAAACGCTGCGATTGACGACTTGCCTCGGATGCACGATGAGCACCCCCCCTCGTCGCCGATCGCATAGGCCCCCCATGCGGCTTCGCCCGAACCGCTGGATCCACTCGATGGCCCCGTCTTGGCTCGAGAATGAGGGCCCCGACTCAGCCTGGCCTCGCAGTCGGGATTCACGCAAGAGACCCCCGAGCCGCGCTGGTTACCGCGCGGACAGGTGTTGGCGCGCTGGCGCGAAGGATCAATCCGCGGCACGCCTTTCGGCGAAGGCTTCAACGGGGACGGAGGCGCCCTGGCCTGGCCATCTCGAAGAGAAATTCCCCGGGAACTGGCGCCAGCGATGCCGCCGTCTCCAGGAGAGCCGTCGCTGGCGCGCCTTCCTCGACTACCCCCGGCGCCACCAAGGCCGCCTCGGCCCCTGCCCGTCGGGCCGCAAGTTCGGAGCCAAGCGCGGCCCGCGCCGCCGTCGCGCCCGCCGCCAGGGCCAGGGGGGCAGCTTCATGATCGAAACGAGCACGACAACAAAAGGTATGGAAGGTACTCGCTAGGGCAGTGCGTCGCCGAGCGCGAGCCACCAATTGTCTACGGAACTGTCGTTGTCTCGATCGTCGCTGGACATGCTGGCATCTTGGCGCTCCTGGGCCACCTGAGCCGCCCCCCCGTTTCGGGCCCTCCAACGTCGCGGGCGGCGTTCGCCTTAGCTTCGCGATCGTTAGATCGACCAGGGCCGCCCGAACCGCTCTCAGCCCCTGCCCGCTAAGCCCCGGCGCGGCGCCCCTGGCCCCAGGGGCAGCTGGCCCGTTTCTAGACCAAGCTGCCAGCCTGAAAAAACACCGGGGCCCCCCGGGGCTCTCCCAGATGGGCCCGCGGCGCACGCGGGCCCGAACTCGCCGTTGAAAACCTCGGTAGGCCCCGAGACATAATCAACCCAAGAACAGCCCCCGCGGCCCCTGCGAACCCTAGGGCCAAGAGCCATCAGACGCCGCAGGCCGCGAGGGAGGCGAGAAGCTCAAGAGCACGCAGCGACGCCATCTGGACGACCCCCGCCTCGCCCATCCGCGGGGAAACGCTCGGGCTCGACAGGAACGAACTCCCCTTCCAGAACGCCAGACGGCGCCCGGATGGAGCCCGACGCAGCTGGACATCCGCGGACAGGCCGCTGAACAGAACGCCCCTGGGAAGATCGACCACGCGCTTCAGGAAGTCCAGCAGCCTGACCGACAGCGAGGAACGTCCTCCTGCAGGACGTCCTCTCCGCGTCTCGAACCCTCCGCCTAGTCCCAGCGGAAACAGGACGGTCGAATGGCGGCGCGCGTCGCGTCTCCCCGCGCGCCGCGCGCCGGGCGAGGTCGCGCCCTGGGGGCCACCGCGCAGTTCAAGCCCTGCTGCCCCAGCGCCCGGGCGGAAAGGTTCAGCGCCTTCGGCCCGATCCAATGATAGCCAACCCCTGGGCCCACCAGCGCAACGGCGGGCGCCGCGGCGGGGCTGGCCGTCGGCATCACCGCAATGACCTCCTGGTCCACCGACTGCATCGTCACCCGCCCGTCGGCCCTCGGGGCGGCCGAAGCACAGCCGCTGAACGCGTGCCTCTGATCCTGGCGGCCTGCCGCGACGGCAGTCGCGGCGCCCTTCTGGCCACCCCGGCAACCGTCGGCCTTGTGGCCCTTCCTGTGGCAAGAACTGCACCTGGTCATCGGCCAGGGGCCGTCGCGGCCCGCCTCGAGATGTCCGTCGATCTCGGCCTCGCTTCATGGGAAGACGACGCTCTCTAGAAGGACGGCCATATCCTGCAAGAAGCTGCAAGGGCGGATATGATCGGCCCCGTTTATCATGACCCCTCGTCTCGGGGTTGAAGCACTGCCGACCTGTCCGAACAACGCTTGAAGTCTGCGCGATCCTTCCAAGACCTTTTTCCCGGTTCTCTCCCTGCCCGCGAAGAACGCGTCGCGCTGCCCCCCACTCGGGCCAGCCTCGCCCTGCTGCCAGGGGCGCAGCCGCGGCCTCCGAAGAGAAAGAAGAAGAAGAAGAAGAAGAAGAAGAAACATCCGAAGACAAGAGTTAGCCATCCTCGTCGTAGTCGCCGAGCCCAGCACAACACTCCGCCCTCGCCCGTCGGCGAGTCGGGACTGGCCGTTTTCGACCTGCCCTCGGGCCCGCCCTGCGATGTGACATCTTAGACGCGCGTCTGGAAGCAACCGCTCAGAACCAATCGGATCCATCTGCATCAGCGCCCACGCGACCTGAAAGGAGTCGAGGTTGCCTCGGGCGAGCGCGCGAAGGTTCTGCAGGCCTTAGGCCAAGAGGCCCGCTCCTTCTCCCAGGAGGTCCTTGAATCTGTCGTTCATCAAAAGATCATGACCCTTCGGTTCTTCAAACTAGGAATTGAAATGCTCTCCTGGGCGCGAACTGCATGAGAGTATCCTAGTTGCCTCTTTTCGCCTTGTAGACTGCCCGCCGACCGAACATGCGAAACTCATCTCCTTCTCGTTCACCAAGCATGATACTTATGCAAAACAAGATGGCCTCCAATCAATCGCCCACGGGTGGACAGCAGAAACTCACTTGCGTCTTCGAACTTGGCCAGCGCCGTCCATCGAACTGCTTCGCATATTTTCTGCAACGTCGGTGTTCTGATCCCAACATTGGAAAACTCGCTTCCATTGACGGAGTGACTCCAGCCGGGCCATGCTGGAGGGTCGGGATGATCACGTCGTCCGGCGCCGCGTCCTGCTGGCCATTCGCCGCGGGTCCTCCAAGTTGCCGATATGTTTCAATGCTTTGCTCCACTCGCCATCGTCCACATGCCACTCGATGGACCACCACTCTCTCCAGTCGTTGGTCCTCCACGTCTGGTCGTCTTCGGCCGTGCCTCTGCTCTAACCAAAATGGCGCTGCCGCCAGGGGTCCATCTCCTCCCCACGATCTGATACCCCTGCGGCTCGCAAAGACGCCGACGAAGGATGTGCCGTTCCTCTTCCGCTCGTGGTCGCCGCGACCACCTGCTCCAGAAGCGCTCGAAGTCCCTCGGCCTACTCGGCCGCGATGTGGAAATAAGACTGCTGCTGCTGTGGGTTGCCGCAGCTGTGGTTCCCTTGTCTGGAGGAGAGGAAAACCGCTAGGATCTTCGCGCCACCGTCAGCTTTCTCATCATCGTTGCCGTCATCGTCGTCGGCCTTGCTTTCGCCCGGCATTGTCGCATATCGTCCAGTTACTCAGGGTAGGGCCTCCTGTGTGCGCTACGAGCTCGCGAGGTCGTGACGCAGCGCCGTGTAGCAACGCCCCATGGCAACCCCTCCAGTCCAGAGCCTCACCACGAGGCTCCGCTACCGACTGCGGCAGCAAGACCGATAACAAAGAGGCTTTTGGATTTTGGGCCACAACGATAGCAGTCACATCTCTTTGCTCTCCCTGACAGTGTACACAGTTTTATATGATACACCAAAAACACACGAAACAAGATGGGTTTCCACACAGCCCTGCCTGCGTTCACCATGGACCATCACAAACAGGGGTTGGTGTTTAGAGGCGACCGGGAGGTCTGAACTGGCTGGGGCCTCGCAAAATCGGTCAGGAGAGGGGATGAAGCCAACTCCGCTCAAGATCTGTCCCTGGACCCCACCCGGGGTCCATCTGGCGCAGTTTTCACCCTGGATCAGCGAACCCTGGAGGCGAACAAGAGGCATCACAACTTCCCGAACCCAGCAGCTGGAACGTGCCCACCCCTCCTGCTGGCCAGAGCCACTGCTAAGCCACCTCCGACCCCCAGCCTGCTCCAACTTGCGAGCGTGTTCTTCTTCGGCGCTTCGAAATTGGGCGAAGGGGGGGGGGGGGGGGGGGCGTTTGGCTCCCGACCTCTGCTTGGTGCGACTGCTTGGAACCGTGCGTTCTGTTGGGTAGCCTCCACCTGCTCGAAACAGGCGCCCATCAACAGGCAAGATCTACTCCATGCGCGCGAGGGTACGGGGGGGCGAGGGCCCGCACCTATCGGCAAAACCAGGAGCAAGAAAACGATCACCTTGGGGCCCACCCTTGCGGGGCAACGATGAGGAGGGATAGGCATAGGGGGGGAAATATCCACCTGGAATTGGCGATGCATCGCCGATAGGTCGGCGATAGGCCTCCGATCGCGAACCCGTTCTTTCCTGGGCAGATTGGCGCTATCTTGCCCCTTGTCGGCGATCAGTGGGCGATTGGAGCTCGATGCACCCCCCCCCCTGTGCCTATCCCCCCCTATCGTTGTCCCCGAACCCTGGGATTGCTTCGACGGCGAGCGACCCGCAGTGCGAGGCTCGCCGTCCCCAGGGCAGCAGGCGCGTCGGCGGCGGCGCACCAGGCGGCGCTGCCCGGTCTCCTCGGCGCCGCGCTGCATGGCCCACTGCAGGGGCTCGCGGCTGCCTCGGCGGAGCGAGCCTCGATCCTCCTCGCCCTGGGGCAGCGCCAGGGAAGCCCTCGCGCCGTGGGCGGAGAATCCTCGTGGGCCTCCTTCGAGGCCGCGGGCGGCCGCTCAGAGGCTCGAGGGCGTCTGAGGAGCCCCGCCGCCTTCTGAGGAGGCCCGCCCCCTTCTCCCTTCCCCCTCTGGCTCGCCGCCGAAGTAGGGACTTCACGACTTCTGCTGTCCCTCGACTCGCGCTACAGCGTTCACGACTTGCTCAAGGTTTCCCGCTGGAGATCTCTGGATCGACCTATATCAATCTGCATGCACCTGACTTCCACCGGACCTCTGGGCGTGAGTGGTGTAAAGCGTTTCCTCTTCCAGCCCTCTTTCTTCCCCTTCGAGGAGGGGCTTATCACAGTTCCCTATGAATAAACAACCCTCCCCCAGGCGACTGGCAACCAACAAGGACCAATGAGGACCCCCCCCCACCGCCGTCCCTGTCAAAAAAGCTATGTGAAGTCCACTTTGGGGCAAAATCTTGGGTCATGATCGGGGAAGCCGCGACTGTTTTTTGACAAGGACGGGGGGGAGCCCGAGGGTATTGCCTGGGGCCAGCATCCCCTTCAAAAAAACAATATGATATCGGAGAAATAGACAAATCAGAAACCGCCGACCCTGTCGGTGTGTGTGGGGGGTCTGTCCGGTCCCGTCGACGGGGAGCCTTCTCCTCTCCAGTCGGGGGAGAGAGAGAGAGAGAGAGTGAGAACCCTTCCTCGTTCGGGGAACGGGTTTGCAGCTTGAGGGAATTCCATCCACGTCCTCGTCACGTCAAAGGGAAGCCCCTTCCCTTTGTCCCTTCCCTGGCGGGGGTGGGGGTCCGGGAGGGCGGGGGGTCAGATTCGCATCCTCCCCCTCCTCCTCCCTCCTCCCTCCTCCTCCTCCTCCTCGTCCTCCTCCTCCTCCTCCTCCTCCTCGTCCTCCTCCTCCTCCTCCTCCTCCTCCTCCTCCTCCTCCTCCTCCTCCTCCTCCTCCTCCTCCCCCTCTCTGTGTCTGCACCTGTTCCGCCTCATCTGTGTCGTCTTCCCCCTCCTCCCGAGGCGCCTTCCAGATCATCTTCTTCGCCGAAGTCAAAGCGATCGTCTCCAGGGTCGGCGGCACCGGCCGTAAGGCCTTCCCAATCCTTTTAGGGCTATAGGGCTACGGTGCTAGAGGGCTACAGGGCTGTAGGGCTATAGGGCTACATGGCTATGGGGCTACAGGACTGTAGGATTATAGGGCTATAAGGCTATAGGGCTATAAGGCTACAGGGCTATAGGCAGGGCTATAGGTCTGTAGGGCTATAAGGCTATACGGCTATAGGGCTATCGGGCTATAGGGCTACCGGGCACCCGGGCGGGCCGCCAGAATCGTCGCCGTACCTCACCTAACTATATGAATCCGCTAAGACCCCTACAGAGGTAAGCTCTGATTGGGGAACAACATGCACTTCGAGGCAAAATCTGGATCATGCGCGGGCACCCTGAGACCTCTGTGCAGTGGCTTTTGACTGAGACGGCGGGTGTGCTGGCCTATTACCTGCAGTGTGCAGGCACACCAGACACTATGGCCACCCCGCCACGATTGCGCGCTCGTTTTCGCCGATGTGTACTGCCACGTGCGCAGGCGCACCGGGCACTCTGGGCGCTTGCCCCGAACGTGGCGAACCTGGCATGGCTGGAGCATGCGGCACGCATGGCGCACGCGGATGCACGTGGCGCATCTGGCGCACCAGGCGTGCCTGGCACGCTTGGGCTTCAGGGGTGCCTGGCGCACCTGACGCGCGTGGCGCGCCTGGGGAGCGCAAAGCACTGGCACCGATGGACAAACTGTGACATCTTGAGGAATCGTGAAAAAGATGAGCGTTTAGAGAAAAGATGGTCCTGCAATTCGGAGCCTGAGTGTATTTTGTATTGCTTTTGACAGGGATGATTGGCCTGCGCGCAGCGAGCCATTTGCGGCACCCCCGCCGCCCCTATCGAAAACTCATGCAAAGAAGTCGCGGAGCGCCCGCACATGCTCAAAATTTGGCGGCAAAGTGCTTTCTGTATAGTACCCAACCATCCTGTGGTGTTGGGTCTACGTGTTGAAGAGTCCGTCCCCGCGTTCTCCTCCCCCTCTTCCCTCCTCACGTCACCCCCTCACTTTGGCGCGCCCCTCACACGCTTCATGGCCCCATAGGGAGCTCCACCGAAGGCGCCAGTGGCTGCGTTCGCATGCCGCCACCCCCCTCACTTTGACACACCCCTCACACGCTTCGTGGCCCCATATGGAGCTCCACCGAAGGCGCCAGTGGCTGCGTTCGCTTGCCGCCACACCCCTCACACGTTTCGTGGTCCCAGAGGGAGCTCCACCTATAAGGGCCCAGTGGCTGCGTTCTCATGCCGCCCCCCACCACCCTCACTTTGGCACACCCCTCGCAGGTTTCGTGGCCCCAGAGGGAGCTCCACCTAAGGGCCCAATGGCTGCGTTCGCATGCCGCCACCCCCCTCACTTTGGCACGCCCCTCACACGCTTCATGGCCCCATAGGGAGCTCCACCGAAGGCCCCATTAACTGCGTTCGCATGCCGCCCCCCCCTCACTTTGGCACGCCCCTCACACCCTTCGTTGCCCCATAGGAAGCTCCACCGAAACGCCCCAGTGGCTGCGTTCGTATGCCGCCACCCCCTTCACTTTGGCACACCCCTCACACGCGTCGTGGCCCCATAGGGAGCTCCACCGAAGGCGCCAGTGGCTGCGTTCGCATGCAGCCAGCCCCATCACTTTGGCACACCATTCGTATGCCATGTGGCCCCATGGGGAGCTCCATCGAAGGCCCCAATGGCTGAGATCGCATGACGCGCCTGCAAGTGTTCTCCCGCTTCTCCCGGTGCCTGTCAGCCGCAACGGCTTACATCAGCATGTAACCCGTTTCGTCTGACCTCCGCGCCCCCTGCGGGCGGCCCCAGCGGCAGCGCCCGCATGACAGGCCCGCCGCCACATTTCGGCGCTCCGTTCATGCGTTCCGTGGCTCCGTAGTGAGCTCCACCGAAGGCGTATCTCACAACGGCGGTACTCACAACTGCATATGGTCGGGTCCATCGCCAGGATAAGTTTCCCAACCGTCATGTTGGGTTTGGTCCTCGTTTTGAAGAGAGGAAGAGGATAAAAGAGTAGTGTGAAAGGCGTGCCTAAATGAGGAGGTGGTGGCATACGGGCGCAGCCACTGGGGCCTCAGGTGGAACTCCGTGGGCCCGCGAAACCTGTGAGGGGTGTGCCCAAATGAGAAGGGGGAGGGAGCGGCACGCGGGCGCAACCACTGGGGCCTTGTAGCAACCTGTGCGGTCACGAAACGTGTGAGGGGTGTGCAAAAATGAGGGGGCGCGTGGGCGCAACCACTGGCGCCTTCGGTGGAGCTCCCTATGGGGCCATGAAACGTGTGCCAAAATGAGAGGGTGGCGACATGCGGGAGCAGCCATTGGGGCCTTAGGTGTAGCTCTCTACGGGGCCACGAGACGCGTGAGGGGCGTGCCAAAGTGAGGGGGTGGCGGCATGCGAACGCAGCCACTGGCGCCTTCGGTGGAGCCCCTTATGGGACCACGAAGAGTGTGAGGGGTGTGCCAAAGTGGGGGGGGGGGCATGCGAACGCAGCCAGTGTGGTCTCTCTTTTTGATTCGGTGCCTCACTGCGGCTTTCGTGCTTTGGTGCGGTCGGGGAAGGAGGAGGAGGAAGATGAGGAGGAGGAGGAGGAGGAGGAGGAGCGGGAGGAGGAGAGGGGACGGGAGGGGAGGGGAGGGGAGGGGGAGGGGAGGGGAGGGGAGCGGAGGAGAGGAGAGGAGAAGAGAGGAGAGGAGAGGCAAGGAGAGGAGAAAGGAGGAGTGACGCGGGGACCGTCTCTTCAAAGCGAGGACCCAACGCCACAGGGTGGTTGAGAAATATATGTTGGCCCTCTCGCCGAGGCCTCTAGGGGCGTCTGGGATGCCTCTGGGGGGCCTCGTGGAGCCTCTTGCGGGCATCGTGGGAGCCTCTTGGGGGCAGCTTGGGGGCTTCTTGGGGGCCCCTTGGGGCCTCATGGGCACACCTCTTTGGGCCGTTTTGTGGCACACTTGGGAGCCTCGGGGGCCATCTTGGGGCCATCTTGGTGGAGATCGATCAAAGGAGGGGGCTCCTAAACTAGCACGCCCCCCCAGGATGCCAGACTGTGGCCAAATCCTTAGCTCAAGCAACGAACGTGGCTTCCTCGCCGAGGCCATCTTGGAGGCTCCAACGCCGCACGACCCCTCCCCTCCAGACCCAGGGGGAGGGGGGAAGGGAAGGGGTCAAGACACCCTCCCCGCCCGCAAGCTGCCTCGCTCACTCCCACCCGCCCCCCCAACACATAAGTAGCAGCTGGGCGTTTGGATGTTTAGCAGCCATCTTTAGTTGGAGAGCTAATGGAAATCAAAACAGATCCCAGATGCGCAACGCTGGGGCGAGGTGCGCCACGCGTGCGAAAGGCCTCCCAGAGGCCTCCCTACAGACCATCAGGGGCCTCCCAAACGAACCTCGCCAAACGCTCCCGATTGGCCCAGCCCATAAAGAGGCCACAGAGAAGCCCCAATAGGTATCTTTAGCTCAACCTCCTTCACGCTGCGCTGCTGCCGTGGCACGGGGCTGGGATTGCCGCAGGCAGCTGGGTAAATTCCCCTGTCACACCAGCAGGTGTGTCGTAAGGGCAGGCTGGGCATTTCGCGTTAGGCCTCCCCACCGCTGAAGACCTTAGCACAGTTCCTCTTCCATATGTCCACCCTTCTTCCCCTACGCAGAGAGGTGCCCCTCTGCTCCTTGTTGATTAGCACCCCCTCCCCCACCCGACTGGCGACAAAGCAAGTGAAACGCCACCCCCCACCCATGTCAAACAACAATTCGGGGATGGACAGAACCCCCTGTAACTGAACGTGGTGTAGTGAAAACGCTCTCGGGCCCAAACCTGGCGGGCGCAAGCCTGGAAAACGACGGCCGCGG